GGTTGGACCGCGGGACAAGGACTCGGTCACCCGTGGTGCCCGCCGCGGGGGCATGAGAAGCCGCTGCGCTGTGGGCGTTTTGTTTCCACCTTTGACTTACGCAGTTTTGCAGCCTCTCGCTTGCCCTGAACCTAACTAAACTTTAAAAAATATATATATTTTATTGATTTTTACAGAGAGGAAGGGAGAGGGACAAAGAGAAACATGGATCAGCTGCCTCCCGCACCCTCCCCCCCTGGGGTTGTGCTGGCAACCGAGGTACGTGCCCTTGACGGGAATGGAACCGGGGACCCTTCAGTCCGCAGGCCGAAGGGTCTGTCCACTGAGCAAACCGGCCAGGGCCTAACTAGACTTCTTAGTGGAGACCTGCTAGTCATGCCCGTCCCCCCGCCCCCCAGAACTTACCGTCCTTCTGGTCACTTTTTCACTCATCTCGTGCCCGACCACTGAAATTAAAACGGATAGTTCCTATCCTTAAGGCTTTGCCCTCTACTCTTTCGATCTTGAGTCCATCCCATAAAAAGCTAATCTAGGATGTTACAGTGATTGAGCTGCCACCTGAACCAGACCTTGTACTCGTTAACAGACAACAGTCTCTTCCTTGACCCTCAGAGTATAGGTAAATGTTCACTCTGGAGTCCATAACCCCCCTCTTCCCATCAATAGCAACAGAGGGCCACCCGGGGAACTCGCAGCTTTCCCTCCGGTCCGCACACATGACTGTTCCACTGTCCTAGAAGTCCTCTCTTCTGCTTAAGAAAATACCTTTTCTTTTGACCTGGTTGACCTTATCTATTACTCTGAAGCTAACCTATTTTCTATAAATTGGCATTTTTAACATCTCCATTCTATAAGTTTCCCAGTTCCCCCCCCCCCAGGAAAGAAAATAACCTTATCACTATTGTACCCCTTTAGACTCTTACCTTATCTCCCCTGCACAGTCAAGACCTGAAATTACCTATTTTCCTCTCTGCCCTCTCTTCCACTAGGGAAGCTCCTGGCAGAGGTCACCAAGGCCCTCCTAATTGGCAAAGGCAGGAGGCAATTTTCAGTTCTTACCTTGAGTGACCTCTCTGAAGCATTTGACACTTGATCATGCTTCCTTCCTGAAAGTCTCACCCTTGATTTCTGTGGCCAGTCTTGCTGGTTTCTCTCCCTACCTGTCCAGCGGTTCCTCTCCGTCTCCTCATGAACTCTCCTTTATTCCTACCTGTTGATGTTTGCCAGGATGTTGCTTCAGGTTGCTTCTAGTTCTGTTCATCTTCTCTAAGTAATTTCATTCAGTGACGACAAGCTCAAATCTGTACCTTTTGTTCAGACTGCTCTCCTGAGCTTAACTTGCTACTAAGTATTACCGCTTGGATAACCCCCAACCGTTTCACCGTGGTCAGAATTGATGTGATCTGTATGCCCGGGAGACCTGCTCCCGTGTTATCCTGGCTGATGGCCGCTGTTCTGTCACAAAGCCTGGAATCTGACAGTGCATTCTTGGTTTCTTTTACTCACAACTTTCTACCCACTATACTTACCATTTTGCCTCTAAAATATCTATTGAATCACACTGTCCTTTTCCTATCACCTGAGCTACATCAATAGCTTCCTAACTGGTTTTTCTTGTCACTAAAGCTGCACTGTTCAGTACAGCAGCCACTAGCTACATATGGCTATTTTAGTTAACGTTAAATACAATTTTAAATGTAGTGACTCAGTTGCACTGGCCACATATCAAGGTCTCATTAGGTGGCTGATGGCTGACCTACTGGACAGCACCGATTATAGAACATTTTCGTCATTGCAGGAAGCCCTGTTGACAATGCTGCTCTAGATTTTTCTCTCTGCCTCTGCACTGTGACGAGTGAGGTTTCCAAAGTACAACTCTGGCCATGCGCTACTGTTTAAACCAGTGGTTCTCAACCTTCTGGCCCTTTAAATACAGTTCCTCATGTTGTGACCCAACCATAAAATTATTTTTGTTGCTACTTCATAATTGTCATGTTGCTACTGTTATGAATTGTGATGTAAATATCTGATAGGCAGGATGGTCTTAGGCGATCTCTGTGAAAGGGTCGTTCGACCGCCGAAGGGGTCGCGACCCACAGGTTGAGAACCGCTGGCTTAAACCCTATGTTAATTCCTCATTGCATGGGGGATAAAATCCAAATTTTTGCACTTGACAGAAAGGTCTGCCTTCCTCTTCAACCTGTGTCTAACAACTTCCTCTTGTGCCCCGTACTCCAGCCATAATGAACTACTATTCCCTAGACACACCATTGTTTTATGCCTTTGTATTTTACACATACTGCAGTCTAATATGTAATAGGCAATAGGCCTTTCTGCAAACCATTCGAGTCCCCAAAGCAACTGAAAAGCCTCTACTTGCCTCCCAAATTCGCTGACTGCGCATTCCTTGGTGTCCTTATGATTGCACCTTTCACAGTGAATGGCGTTTGCGTGATTATAGGTTCCTCTCCCTTAGTAGACTTTGATCTTGAGAACAGGGCCATGTTGTAGTCTTCCCGCCACCCCTCCCTCCCCCCCAGTATAAAACCCCAGCTCCGGCGTAGTACCTGTCTAGTATGAGGTGCTCACAAAGAGCAAATGTTGAAAGAAATTGATGCTTAAGTAAGTATAGGACTTAGGTAAGAATGTAATGTATGTGTATGGGGTACCATACATAGTATTGGGGAAATAATCATAGTAAGACACAATCATTGCTGCCAACTACACATTCCGGGCGTACAGATCCCATGGAGGTGGTGAGAGGAAAGACAAAGCATTACAGCATCGGTCATTTTTACACAGCAAGGCAGTCCAGCCTGGCCAGAAGAGAATATAAGCTACAAGCAGTAAGGCAGTAGGAGGGAAGCCTGGAAGGTAAATTTATTTGAGGTGATATTGTGAAGGATTTCTAGTGCTGTTAAGTTTGGACTCAGTGGGGAGCCACTGGAAGTTTCTGAGCAATGACTTGATCAGGGTTATGTGGTAGGATAGGAACTCTATCTTTATATCCCTAGTAGCCGGCACTATACCTGTTGTTAAACACAAAATGAAGAGGGCTGCCGAACCGGTTTGGCTCAGTGGATAGAGCGTCGGCCTGCCGACCGAAAGGTCCCGGGTTCGATTCCGGTCAAGGGCATGTACCTGGGTTGCGGGCACATCCCCAGTGGGAGATGTGCAGGAGGCAGCTGATCGATGTTTCTCTCTCATCGATGTTTCTAACTATCTATCTCTCTCCCTTCCTCTCTGTAAAAAATCAATAAAATATATTAAAAACAAACAAACAAACAAAAAAAACAAAATGAAGAGGGTAAAGGGGGGATAAGTGGTGATGGAAAAAGACGACTTTGGGTGGTGAACACACAATACAATACACAGATGGTGTATTATAGAATTGTACTTTTTTTGACCAATGTCACTGCAATAAATTCAATAAAATAATTTTAAAACCCACAAGATGAAATTATCAGGTTGGAATGAGATGAGACTGGTGATAGCTAACATTTATTGAGTACTTGACATGTATCAGGCCCTGTTAAAAGTCCTTTATATGTATTAACTCAATCATTATAACCCTAATAGAAGCTCAGTGCACAAAATTTGTGCACAGGTAGGGTCCCTAGTGGCTGCCGGCTGCTGGCCAGGGCCTCCCTTCCCCGGCTGCTGATCAGTCAAACTCCCAGTAGGTCTAACTCCCAAGGGGACACTTTGCATATTAGGCTTTTATATTATATATAGATTCATTGCTATATTCCTAAAGCTAGAACTGTGAGTACCCAGTGGTGGGTGTTTCGCAAGTACATGTCGAGCAGGTAATTGAATGAATGAATGAACATGGGAAGGTGGGGTGAGATGGCGGGTATCTCAGTCCATTTAGGCTGCTGTAGCAAAATACCATAAACTAGGTGGCTTGTGGACAATGTCAGAGATGAAAGAAAGTTAGTAAATTGTATATGAAAATCTTACTCCTGTCAGAGTCTGGGGCATGCTGCGGGACCCAGAGTCAAGTCTCCACCCACCCGCATGCACCTCAAAATCATGTGAGACCCAGACCCAGCCAGCCCGATCCCCATTGGGCGAGATCCAGACTTGGCCGGCCCTAGCCCTGTCAAGCCCTGCCGGGCGGGGGGTGAGGGGGCGCAGCCTCAAGGCCCCTGTCAAGCCTTGCCGGGTGGGGGGCACAGCCTCAGGTCCTCCATCAAGTCCTGCTGGGTGGGGAGTGCAGCCTCAGATCCCCTGGCCTGGTGCTGGATGGGGCGTGTGGCCTGAGGTCCCCCATCAAGCCCTGCCTG